TGAAACAAGTCAACAACAACAGTACCATACAATATCATTTACATCTCATTCTTCTGAGATTTGAGGGGGCATTACATATAGGCTGCATTAGGCAGATTAGATGCCACAGGAGATAGAATGCTAGGCCTGGAGTCAGGAAGACCTGAATTAAAATCTGCCTTCAGGCACATACTAGCTGTGTGACCTTGGGCAAGTCACTTAACCTTTGTCTGCCTCAGTTCCCTCAACTGTAAAATGGGGATAATAATAGTACTTTCCTTAACAACTTTGTGAGTTGACAACAAACTTGTTGTGAGGACCAAATGAGATATCTGTAAAGTACTCAGCACAGTGCCTGGCACATAGTAGGTGCCCAATAAATGCTTATTCCTTCCATCCATCCATTAAATAACCCATCTGCCAAGGAAACATTCTGCAGTGTGATATATCAGCTGTAGCATAAATCCATTCACAGATCCAGTGTGCAAAAATGGATGTGTAGAGAAAGAAATGGGAAAAATCACGGTGACCTCACAGGATCCCTGTAGAAGATACCTGAGGAGGAATACGCAGTGAAGTTATAATCCCTTAGTACCACTAACCATATTTTCCAAACTCGGAGAGGACAGTCAGTTTACCAGGATCACTTTAAAGTAAATTCTTTATTAGAACGAAGGTTGGTCTCAAGTGGAGTCAGACTGGATGAGCTAAGACTTTGTCTACAAAAAGTTCTACTGAAAATCCAGGTTGCCAACCAGATAAATTAAGATTTTCTCCCTTCAAGGAAGAATCCATTAGTTCCATGTTTGGGGCATGGTAGGCAGGCCATAAATATCTGCCAGATAGAAAGGAGGGGCTTCCCTCCCAAATGGCTGAGAGAAAAAAAAAAGGCTCTCCTAAGGGGATGGCGATAGATGGTTGTCTGTTAAGGAATAAACCAGAAAGGGGAAAGGTGAAGCTACCTTGGTGTCTCTAGAATTGGAAACCTGTATCCAGCCTTACCACATTTATTCAACCGGTTTTTCTACTGTCTAAAATCAAATTCAGGCAGATTAAAGTTGACAAGAGATCACAAACCCTTTGCATTCATTCGGTTACTTGCTCTGTTGACCTACTTTGTTTAATATATAGGGATCTGGTAACTCCCCAAAGGAGCACACTGGACAGAGAACTTCAAGTTGCAAACCTCTGAAGTAATCTGTGAGGGGGTTTCTGCAGCACTTAGAACATCAGCCATCTGTGGGTTTTTGTTGCCCAGGGAAGTGATCTCTGTGATAACTTTGGGCCTGATCTCCAAGGGAAGGTCTCCAGAGCCAAGGTGCATAAACAATCTTAGATCAGCGATTGTCAAACATTTGGTCTCAGGATCCCTTTCCACCCTTAGAAATTATGGAGGACCTCAAAGGGCTTTTGTTTGTGTAGATTACGTCTATCAATATTTACAGCACTAGAAATTAAAATAGAACATTTAAAATAATTATTTATTAATTCATATGAAATGCAAATACATTACATCTAAACATAAATATTTTTTATGAAAATTAACTTTATTTTCCAAAACAAAAAAAAATTTCAGTGAGAAGAGTGGCATTGATTTGCATTTTTTTTCAAATCTTTTTTAATGTCTGATTAAATATGATAATAGCACTTATGTAGCACTTCAAGATTTTCAAAATGCTGTATGGGTGTTAACTCATCCTTACAATAGCCCTATGAGGTAAATCCTATTATTATCCCCAATTTACAGATGAGGAAACTGAGGCACATAAAGGTAGGGTGTTTTGCCCAGGGTTACATGGCTAGTAAGTGTCTGTAATAGGATTCAAATTTGGATTTCCTAACTCTAAATTGATCCAAATGTGCCAGCTAGCCGCCTGCGTTAGAAGGCAGCTAGATTCTCATATAAAATCTACAAGACAGCTGAATTCTCGTATCTGCTTTTACATTCAGTCTGTTGCAATGTTATTTTGGTTGAAGTATAGGAAGAAGATCTGACCTTATACAGTTATGTAGTTAGAAAAGGGAGGAGAATTTTATTGGGCAAATTACCTCTTAGTATTATTATGAAAATAGCTTTGACCTCATGGATTGCCTTAAAAGGTAGGACCCCCACACTTTGAGAACTGTTGTTATAGACTATTGGAACGGGCAGAGGAGACTAACATTTTCCTTTAGTGACTTGGCTATTGGCCATTAAGTTCAACCAACGTTCATTGAACACCTGCTGTGTAGAAGGTACAGTGCTGGAGATGGTGGGTTACATGGTCCTGATACCAAAGAACTTAGTTCCAGAAGAGACAAGACATATACAAAAATTAAATATCCCCAGGCAGATGTGAAAAGTCCTATAGCAGAGGTAAAAACAAATTGCCATGGGAGGATAGATAGGTTACTTTTGGCTGGGTGAGATTAGATGGGGCTTCATGGAGTAGGTAGCATTTGAACAGGACCTTGTGAGAAGGGTTGGATTTTGACAGGCAGAAATGAAAGGAGGATATTCCTGATTGGGACAGACTGAGAAAAGAGCACAAAGTAGGGAAAATGCATGATGTGTTTCAGAGATAACATGTGAACCAGGTCAGCTAGAACATAGAGAACATAGAGGGGTGGAGATGGGGGAGTAACATGAGGTAAGCCTGGAAAGGTCAGGTCAGGCCAGAATGCAAATGCCGGATTAAGGAGTTGGGACTTTATTGTGCAAGCCAATTGCGAGCTAATGATGATTTCTCAACAAGGAAATGATATGATCAGAGCTTTAGAATGATCAGTCTGGAAGCAGTGTGCAGGAAGAATTGAAACAGGGAGAAACTGGAAACCCAGAAACCAGTTAGGTGGTTATTGTTATCTATATCAATATCACAAATTCCATGAAGCCATCGTTGGATCAAGAAGAAGCTTTATGAACGACCTGGGAAGGCTGGGTGTCCCACATGTGTAAGAGCACACAAGTGGGAGCACATGTATGGACAATGCATACCTTTTTATTCCCTATTACCCATTCGAATTTCCTTCCCCTGTTTCCCCATCCGTTGGGTACTGTAGAGGTTACAGCTTATCCGAAGTGCCTAATTTCTCCATGTGAGTCTCTGTCCCTAATTACACCTCCCACGCCCCACAATTCTGCAATTCTGGCCCTTGCTTGGGAACACTCCTTTTTATGTTAACCTCAGAACTGGTGTTCTGCCTGTTAGGCTATTCATCACCAACAGTATTTTCTTACTCTAATTTAACTTCCTTTTGTTCAACTTTCACCTAGCTTGCCAACTGCATTCCTTAAGGTTTCCACTTGGCTTTTTAGTGGAAATAATAATAATTAAAAAAACTATGTCTCTGACTCTGATTAAATGATGTGCAGAGGCAACATCCACATATCCCACAATCATGGCAATGATCCAGGCTTAAAGTTATGATGGTATGAAGCAGCAGAATGATGGGAGTAACTATGGCCCCAAGTGAAGTGATGGAGCATGATGCATTTGGGTTACAGTGTTATCTTCCATTTCATTTCGGCTTATAGAGCTGCCTTAAGAATCTCAAAGCATTTCTTGGATTGTTGAAAGCTTAGGTCTCATTCGGGGAAAAGGAGGTGCAATGAAGGTCACACTCTGAGGTGAGCAAACAGAGTGGAAAGGTTACAAATCCCTTAGCCCTGCTCCAAAGTTTGCCTAAGACTTTATAAAACCAGAAGATAGTCTTCTGTGTTGACTGAAGTTCACTAGCAGGAATGGGATGTGGACCCAGGCCTTGCTTAATCCTGCATCCTCATTAGCTGTCCTATTAGCTGTAATGCAAGTCCATGAAGAGATATATTCTGGAATCTTTACCTTCTGAAAAAAAAATTCTCCTCGTGTTCTTTTTATATTGACTGCCAATATTCAGTCAAATATTGCTTACAGCTCTTGCCTCTCAGCATGAGCAGAAAAATACCTGTTGGTGATTTCATGTGTTTCCTAGAAGGAGAAAAGGATTTGTTTTCCCCTTTCCTTTCTTTTTTGTGAACTAAAACTTCTGGAAGATGGCATTTTAGAATCCAGTCCCTTTTCTTTCATTTCACAGCTTATTTCTACCTCTATAATTCCCTCACTCACCCTGAGGTATGTTTAGCTCCCTTCTACTTTCTAGGAGGTACAGTGGATAAAGTACTGGGCCTGGAGTCAAGAAGACCCAGGTTCAAATGCAGTCTCAGACACTTACTAGTTGTGTGACCCTGGGCAAGTTACTTGACCCTGTTTGCCTCAGGAAATGGCAAATCACTCCAATATTTTTGTCAAGAAAACCACAAATGGGATCACAAAGAGTCAGATACTGCTGAACAACATTTTTATGGTTTTGTTGAGGTGTAGGGATTTAGGGGTGCTGGGACCCCAATATCACAACACTTGGATTCTGTCCGAAAGAATTCGGCCCAAGCCTTCTTTCAGCCAAAGACAAGGTTTATTAGAACATCTATCTTATTGGGCAGACTCTTAAGGAAGTCTGAATGTTAGTGAGCTGTTGGCTAGATTTTAAGAATCTGAGCAGTGGCTAGATTTTAAGAATCGGAGCAGTGGCTAGATTGTAAGAATCTGAGCACCTTAATGGAGACAAGATGGACTTTATATACAGAAAGACTGTGGAAGGGATCTAAGGGTGGCCAAGTAGTTTGGGGTGCCTGGAGGAGGGGTCTAAGGAAGATCTGAATGGGAGTGGCCAGTAAACTGGGGTGAACAGAGCTCCTGGGACCTGGACCAAGGGGCTGGGGGCCATAGGGAGGTAAAACAGTGGAGGACTAGGCTAGGTTAAGGGTAACAGAGAATTGGGAGATTGGGTGTAGCCACAATGAAAAGCCAGTTGATGGGATTATAGCCTCAGGCAACACCCAGAGATTTGGCCATGTGGGAAAGTCCAGGGTTTTTTCCTTTCTGGGGTCCAGATCCCAACCCCCATCAGTTTCTATTGAGAAGGATTTCCCCTTGTAGGTACGGCACTAACTCCAGCACACTCTTAGACTGGGCTGGATTTTTAGATGAAATAAGGCACTCTTAAGTCATTGAGCATTTAATAACAGAGGCTTGCATTGCCCAAACACAGCAGAGATACATACAATGGCATTTATCTTCAGCTTGTTAGATGCAGTCTTCCTCGCCTCCTCACACAGTCTGATCAGTATGTCTTCAGGATATGATGACTCATGTGGTCTTAGGCACCCACTAAGTCTGAGAGGCCCACACTCTGCATGGCTGGGGGGCTTTTTATGTCTCTAGAATAGGAAGCTATGTCAGGAAAATGCCGGTTCTGTGGCACTGGGGGTCTGCAACACTGGAAAGCAATGAGAAAAATGGACCCTCCAGGTAGAGCAATTCTTAACAGATCTCATATAAATTTTAAATTTAGAACAATAGCAGCAAGAGCTAAAGCTAATGAAAAGCATGAAATGCTCCCACTTAATTCAATGCAAATTTGCTCTATGACAAATTTCTTTTCTTTTGCACAAATGAGGACATTTGTTAAGTGGAGAAAAAAAATGAATCTCTAGTGAGCAAAGAGAGGGGCCACTGATTAACAGTCCAGAACAGAGTAATAGTACCTAACTGGCAGTGTTATGAGGATAAAGTGAGATAATGTTTGTAGAGCATTTTGCAAAAGCGTAAAGCTCTATGTACATATTATTGTTATTCCATCACTTCCTGCTGACGTGGCTTTTTTTGTTTAACTTCATAATACCTAAGGCAATAGATTTTTCTGTTAGGTCAGAGTTTGCATAGTGTAGTTGATAGGAAACTGTCTTCAGAGTCAGGACATCTAACATATATTATCTGTGAGAATCTGAGCAAATCACTTAACATCTCTATGTCCCAGGCAAATAAGTTGCAGAACAGATACAAATCTCTCTTGGTAGGAGTTTGCTCACCAGGAAGCTCCTTACCCTGATAAAGATCACAATTCACCCCCCCCCATTGGTTTATATTTGTTTCATGCTCCTTGTGTATAGCAGCCATTAGGCAAATCTGTAGGGAAGGTTTGGTGGTGTAAGGGAAACTCAAAAATAAAGGTATTCATACTTCTGGCTCTCTTCTACTATAAGAATGGAGAGGTACTGGCCAGGTATGGTCACACCTATTTCCCCTTCCACCATCCAGTCAACTAGCATTTGTTAAGAGCCTACTATGTGCCAGGTGAGGTGCAGGGGATAGTGCTGGTCCTAAAGTTAGGAAGACTCATTTGTGGGTTCAGATCTGGCCTCAGATACTTATATTAGCTGTGTGACCCTGGGCAAGTCACTTAACCCTATTTGCCTGTTTCCTCATCTGTAAAATGAGCTAGACAAGGAAATGGCAAATCACTCCAATATCTTAGCCAAGAAAACCCCAAATGGGGTCATGAAGAGTCAGACACTACTGAAAGCGATGGAACAGCAATAACAAAATGTGGCAGGCAGTGTGTAAAGAGCCACAGTTCCTACTCCCTAGTCACCACTCTAGGCTCCACCTAGAAGAGAACAGAGAAGGAGTAAGAACACAGGACTTCACAGCCCCCAGCCTTGTCCCAGACAGCAAAATAAAATGGCACTCAGACTGGATTTTAGCTTAAGGCAAAAGAAAAAAAATCCCTAGATCTAGTTTAGTTCTTCCTTTTAGGGAATTTGTCAAGAATTAATAATAATCAGAACCAAAAGATTCTCTCAGAATCAGCTCAGCCCCCAGTTAGCTACCTCTGATCCTCTAACCCATTTTTATTTCTTTTTTCAGTATATACCGAGCTAGTTATTAGTGTCCTCCATTGCCCTTTCTATCTGACCTCATCCCCAATTAATTTTAAGATATGTATCAGAGAGAAGTTATTATTAATCATAGTTTTTACAGAAAAAAATCAGGAAACAGAAACAGCACAAAGAAATAAGGAAAATCATATTGAATGTTTGTCAGCATCAGGCGCAGGGGAGAGGAGTTAAACCTTTGGTGTTCTTGAATTGATTACCAGAGTAGTTTGTCCCAGATGATGGGGGCGGGGCCCAAGCCAAGATCTTCTTCCTTGTAACAAAAGGAATATGACTCCCATTTGTCTACAGGTACCAGACCCTCATCTCCCTTTGAAAGCCTTAGCCTTACCTTTTAATCTTATTCAGATACACCCCTTCACCCTAAAAGAATCTGGCTCTCTTTTGTCTATAGGCCCCAGAAAGGCCTTACTCTGGTCTCAAATGGTTCCTTATTGACTCCCCTTATCTCCCTTTGAAAGTCCTAGCCCCACCCTTTGATCTCGTGCAGATGCCTTTCAAACTTCTGCCTTCCAGTTCCCTCCATTAGCTATTCCCACTGTCTATTCAATCTCTCAGACCTTCCAATCAGAACTCTCACTTATACCCTTTTCCCAGCCCCCTTCCTCTGGCCACCCAAAGTAACTTCAGTGTATAAAAATTCCCCTGGCCCCATTCAGACGCTGAAAATCTCAAGCTCAAAAGGCTGAGACTTTCTCATGACCGCCCTGCCCATCCTCACCAGCGTTACCTGGCCTGTGTGATTTATCACTAATAAACTTTTCCTCTGGCTGAAGAAGATTTGAGTTGAATTCATTCAGCAGGGCCTGGTATCACAACCTTGGGGTGTCCCCCAGCAGCACCCCAAAAGTCCTAGACCTCTTCACCAGCCACCCCTACCTGCCCTATAGACTTGCGTTGTCCTGTGTGGAAGTACAGTCACTGGAGCCAAACCTAGAGGTAAGACTGTTATTCTCTCTGTCTCTCTGTCTCTCTCTCTCTGTCTTTTTCTCTGTTTCTGTCTGTCTCTTTCTGTGTGTGTCTCTCTCTGTCCCTCTCTTTGTCTCTCTGTCTCTGTCTCTCTCACTCCCCCACTCCCCCTCTATCCTTTTTTCCCTCCCTCCTTCCCCTCCCCTTCCCTCTACTCTACTGAAGTTATCTTTGCTGGAGAGGTGAGGAACCCCTAAGTCATGGTCACTGATAAATTGCAAAATCAAAACTCATGCTTAGTCTTCCAGATCATTATCCTCACTCAGCCACCCTCAGAGCTCCCAGGGCAGGAAGGAGAAAACGATGCTGCATGCTCAGGACTGCAGTTCCCAGAAGTCACAGGTTTCAAAATTTTTCATTCTCTTCCAAGGTTGGCTGAAAAATCCATCCCCTTAAAATACAACTTCTCCTTTGTTTGTGAAAGAAATCAAAGGAGTCCAGTATGCTCTGCAGGCTTCATTTCATTCTCAATGTTGTACCTCTCCCTGGCAAAGTTCCTATAGTTACTTCGGTGGTAGGTATCTGGGATTACTCTCAGTCTAGTTAGCAGTCATTTCGAGTTTTCTTTGTTACTTGATATTTTAATATAAAGTAGAAGCCAGGTGACTCTTTGGTCAATCATACTATTCTCTAGTCAGAAACAATTCTGAAAATATTCCTGGAGTGGCTGTCACTCATGCCTTATAGATGGGAAACAAAAAAAGAAATGAAATCTATTTCAATCAAATTGAAAGACAAGATAGAAAAATTGCTATCTTTTTTCACCTACCAGAGCCCTAATCCTAACTGACAGTATTCTAACTGTGATATAGCTTCATCTACACTTTTGGCATTCCCCAGTGGACAAAGGGGACCGACATTATAAGTAAGATGTGACATGTGGGAACTTTGGTGACCTAGAGGGCACATCTCAGTCACAACATTCTTCTTGGCACTAGGTGGCACTGGCCCTAGGACCATATTTTTCCAGTGAAGGTTGGCTTAGGGGAAAGACAAGTGTTGGAGCCAAACTGAAACACAATTAGAGTACCAAACCTTGGAGCAGAGTTCCTGGGATGCTGAATTCTACATCCTGCTATTGTGTCTGATCAAGAAAATCCCCCATACTTAGCATAATACCTGGCACATAGTAGGGAGGGAAGGAATAAACATTTATATAGCACCTACTAGGTGCCACGAATTGCATTAAGTACTTTATAAATATTATCTTGTTTGATACCACAACTCTGAGAGGTAGATGCTATTATTATCCCTATTTTACAGTTGAGGAAACTGAGGCAAACAGAAGTTAAGTGACTTACCCAGGGTCACACAGCTAGTAAGTATCTCTGCAGCTGAATTGGAACTTATGTCTTCCAACTCATGCCCCTACTGTTCTATCTCCTGTGCAACCAGCTGCCAGGGGCTTAATAAATACTTTTTGACTGACAGGCTCTTCAGTATAGGTGTAGACAACCTTTTGTTGGTTAACTATCCGTGTCCCATTTCTACTTCACCAATAAACAAGAAGTCTTAGAGAACATTGACTTTCGGGTTACCTTTCCCCTCCCCTCAAGTTTCTTGGTTGAGAGGCTGAAAAGAATCAAATCAGACTTTAGCCCAAGGGGGTGTGTTGTTTACCTGGAAGGGTTGAACCAGGACATAGAAACGGATGTGCTTTGTGTTTAAGTTGACCATGTTATTACCTTACCTCATTAAACTGTTGTTCAATTTGACTTTAAGTGGGGTTGGTGACTAAAGCAACATTGGATTTGGAAAGGAAGGGGTGTGGTCAGTAGGTGGAGGAGAAATCATATGAATGACATATCATGATTGACACAGACACGCCTAGAAAACCATCTGGGACCTAGATGTGAGACACTGCTTGATGGGTGATGGACAGCCACCTGCCCCGAGGCCCTGACTATTGACAGCATCCAAGCAACTCCAGTGTTCTAGCATTAAATGCTAAACGCTCAGTGATCTCAAAAAGGAATTTCTGATAGAAAAAAATTTGTATTGAGTTAGCTGAGAATATTTCATACTTTTTATTAGCTTTGGTGATATGAAATTCTCTCACATTTGCTGACACAAAATTATTTTTAATTCCCTTTAATTAAAAAATATGCAATGCAGCACTTCGAGGGGACAGAAAAAGATTATTCTAAATCAAATAGCAACAGGAATGAACAAGCATATTGGAAAGCACTGCGCTAATACTTAACTGACATACATTAACTTGTCCTTTGCTATTTTGTCATGATTACCCCTCATTTAAAATCACTTTAAAAGCACTTGGCTTACAGTTAGGACAAGGAGTGTTCCAAGTTAATATCTGGTCTGTCTGGCTTTATCATGATTTGAAAATTCAGTTTTGGAATCACAAATTCCCTCTCTTGCCGTATTGACTTTATGCTAAAATAATGATTCCCGGTGCTGGTTTCTTGGGGTTTTGTCCTGTGATCTCAAGAGGGTGATATGAAATTCTCAAAACATTATCTTGGAAAATGAATTTGAATTCCCCTTAATTAAATATAGACATATCCAATATAGAACACTGTGCTTTTAGGAACCAGAGAGCTATGTTGCAGAATCAAACAGCTGACAGTATTGACACTCAGGTTGACAATTATTGGGATAAGGCTTTTTTTAAAAAAAAAATTTATTTTTATCACTATCATCTGTTTTTGCATCATGTACCTTTGTCTTTGGACCCTTCCTCTTCCTCCTCCCAGACATCTGTTCATTATAACAAAGAATTATTTTAAAAAGGAAGGAAAAAATCCAGCAAAACCAATCAATATACTAAAAAAAAAATCTGATGTCAGATGCAGAATTTCATACCTGTGGACCATGTTTCTTTCAAAGGGGCAGGTGGGGGCAAGGAATTTTCTCACAATCTCTTCTTGTACTTTGTACTTTCATGACATTCAGTTCCCAGTGTTTTGTGGTGGTTGAACTTTGCATTTACATTTTTGTAATCATTGTATATATTGTGTTCCTGGCTCTGCTGACTTCATTTCTTATCAGTTCATATGTCTTTCTCTGCTCCTCTCTGCATTCATCATGTTCATAGTTTCCTATGACATTATAATATTCCATTACATTCATGTACCACAGTTCGTCTAGCTATTTCCCAACTGATGGGCACCCACTTTGTTTCCAGTTCTTTACTATTACGAAAAAAATGTTGCTATAAAGATTTTGCTGTGCACAGAGTTTTTCTGTTTGTTAATGACCTCCCTGGGACATATATGCCTAGTAATATGTAAGGGAAACTGAGGAGGATAGATCCTCCCCAACCCCCTGTGTAACCATCTCATGACCTAACGGTGTAACTGCCTTGTGACCCGACATAAAGATAGATGGGAGTTACCATGAGTGGTCAAAGGTGACCATGAAGATAAAATATTAAATAACCAACAAGCTATGTTACCTGGGAAAGCAATATATCTCAAGGAATATTTTTCTTGAGAAAGGTGTGTAACTGTCCAAGGAATTGATCACTTCTTGGAGACTTACACAACAAACAGGTATTTGGGGCTCTGATCAAGCCCCAACTTTTGTTAAAGATGTGTGCGTGCCTGGACATGAGCTCACCAAGGATACATACACAAAACAAAATATCAAGATTGTCTTTCCCTGGTTTACATAGATATAAAAGGCATCATCTAGAAAGGGATCTTTGGGGGGGGGGTTGTTTGTTTGGTTTTTTGGTTAGGCAGATGGGGTTAAGTGACTTGCCCAGAGTCACACAGCTATTAAGTGTCAAGTGTTTGGTCTGAGGCCAGATTTGAACGCAGGTCCTCCTGCCTTCAGGGCCGGTGCTCTATCCACTGTGCCACCTAACTGCCCCTGGAAAGGGATCTTTGGAGACTTTGATTTCAGAGATAGGGACGCCAAATCTCTGTTGTGTTCAGAAGCTCCGCATGCACGGCTTCTATTGGGTCGGAAAGGGACCCCGCTCCGTTGGCCTCCCTGACCATACCTCTTGACCGTTCTCCAGTCTCCCTGGTCTATTAGGTATTTGAGCTCACCTGGTCAGTGAGTGTGTATCCTTTCTTTTCTTATTCCTACTTTCCTTTATGTTAATTATTGTTTATTGCATTGAATGCTATTCGTACTTTTATTGCTTGTGTGGTTTTTAATCATTATTAGTCATTGTAAATAAATGTGATTATTTGTTAAGTTTATCCTGAATACCTGTCATTATATCTTGAGAGCTGAACCTAAACTGAATCTGCTCAGTATGTAATCCTTTTCATTACACAATGGAATCTGTGGGTCAAAGGATCTGGACATTTTTGGTA